CCTTCAGTCCATACCTTTATTTTTCTAAGTTTATACCCATTTAAAAAAAGTGCAAAATGTTTACTCCTGTATGACAAAAACTGACTGATATTTAATTTAAAATTTCGAGTTATATTCAGAGCTGTACCCAAATTGAGGAGTGAAATATTTGCACTTGTACTTAACTGAAAATGAAATATCAGATTAGAAGAACATTTTGATGTTAATAGATTAAGTGAACAGCCTTTTTATACAGATTGTTGTAAAAAGTATTAGTCTGTATAATTTTTTCAAACAGGAGATCTTATTCAAAGAATGTTACAAAATTACTGTACTAGGAAATAGTAGCTAGCTGGCTTCACTACTGGCACATAGCCACCTCATAATGTTATTTTTATAAGTTAAAAAAGAAAAATGTTTGTAATTTAATTAACTTTTTGTGTGATTATAAGATTTTGATTGTAAAGTAATGAAACTGCAAGAAATTATTAATAACGTATTTTTGGCCTTTGAAATCTTCGAAATAGCTTATGTGAAATTCCTTTGGCATATCATATGTAATTACATTATAAATTAAAGAATGTACACAATAGTATATCACAAGAAAATATCACTCTTATTACAGGGGGTAAATCAACCTTGAATTATTCAAATTTATTCTTTAACAGACCTCACATAGCAAGCCAGGGGAAGATGTCAGAAATCCTAAATTTGAAATTAAATATTCCAGTCAATTTTTTTTCATAGAGAATTCAAAATTTGTATGTCTTATTTATTATACTTGTATTGAATATAACTGTAGGGATAGGGAGATAATATAAAAAGTTTGATTTTTGTAATTTTTACGTAATTGATTTTTTTATTTTAAAAATGCCGCAATTGAACCTTTGAATCATTTAAAAAAACATTTATGTAACTGGAAGTAAATGAACAACAGTTGCAGAAATAAAGGTTATGAATGGATTTTTCTGTGTGCTGTATGTTTGCATCTGTAGGCACATGCTTGCTTAATTTTTATGATAATGCATTGTTATGTATAAGTGTACAACATATGTAAATGCGAGACAATAAAGCAAGTGAGCAAAAATAAATTTGTTTTAAGGTGTTTAAATCAAATAAAAATAATTGAACTATTGCATAGTTTAAATTTTGTGATAACATAGTTAATAGTACAGTGAAAATGTAGGTGTGATAAAAACTTCTATAAGAACGAAATAGTTTTGTTTTATAATTTATTGCATTTATTTTTTTAAATCTATTACTTAATTGCATTTCATCCTTAGGTGAAGGTTCACAGTAATTGATAGCAAGTCAAATAAATACAAAAGCAAGCAAGAAAGCTAGCGACACAACAGTACATATTTAAAGCATATGCATATAACTAAAATGAAACAAGACAAATAAAAATTGAGAAAATATTCAAATATCAAATAGTTATACAGTCAAAAGTCGTTAATTCGGACACTCATAATCCGGAATGATCTATAATCCGGACCTCAAAGCTACAAACTTTCTGCGCATGCGTCGCGTTGACGCATGTGCGTAAGACCTTTACGGCTGCGAATTTGCGTGTGCGCGTGCGCAAAATACGTTCACGAATGCGCGTTTAATGTATAACGGACGGTATAAGCTAAGCTCTAATTATCTATTTCAGTTAATGTTGCAGATTGCGTTGTTCCTTAATCTTCGAATTGGATCCGGCTTATTATTTTTTGCAGACTGTTAGAGCAATTTCATAAAAGTAAGCTTGAACTTTCGATTATGTCAAATAAAATTTCCGATTTATATTTACTAATATGTAACGGATCTACAAAGCGAAAGTATGTTTCGGAGTCCATTAAACAAAAAGTGGAATTGCTGTAAAAAATGGATAAAGGCATATCCTTTGTTTATCTAAACTTTAACGTTTGTTTATCTTTAACGCCGCGGCGGGCGCGCAATGAATTGGAAGTTGATCTGTCAGCACTATCCTTATCTTCAGGGCAGATGTTTTTATTTTATTTGGCTTATAATTGCTTACTAAATGTAGTATTTCATTTCGATATACTCCGTCTTTGATATGATTTAAATGAAATGCCTCGTCATTATAATTCGCTTCCGATAGCGAAGAAAGTGACAGAGGTTATTGAAAACGAAAAAATTCGATTGACAAATTAGTCGGTATTCTCGACACAGCAATTATAGGACTTGAACAGCGGAACTTTGTAACTGAACAAGAAATTATGTATGTTTATAGAATTAAAGACAATGTATTATCACATAAAAAACGAAGCAACTTAAACAACTTACATTGAAAGAAATGTTTAATAAAGTAAACAAATAAATATTAAGCTTTTTTTTTTTTTGTAAATTTTGATACACTTTAGATCATAATTGTTCTTTATTTCGTAAATTACGGTTTCATATTTTTAATTTTATAATTTCTTCATGCCATTTTACCAGATTTAAACTGATGATCTATAATCCGGAAAAATCGATAATCCGGAATCGCCGAAGTCCCGACGAGTCCGGATTAACGACTTTTGACTGTATTGCTGTTGGTTTTATGTAAAATTATTTACCTGAGTTATACGTGACAATTATCTTTGTAATAAATACTACATTAAATTTTTTTTTAATGTTACAAGTGACATATGTTGTCACTTGTAGTTTATGCAGAATATTGCTTTACCTGCTTTCAGCAGCAGCAGATCTTTAGTGCAAACAACGTTAGGTTCATTTCATTGATGAAATCCTTTGCACAATAGCATTCTTTAATTATGAATACTGTATATGTGTTGTATATAAGCAGCAAATCAGTAATAAATATTTTGATATTAGAAGGTTGCATACAAAACAAAATTTCTATTTGTGTGTTAGCAATGTATGGTAACTGCTCTATGATTTTTGAAAAATGTCTGCCATTGAGTTTGATATGCCAGAATCTGCAGAAAACTTGAGATGAGTGTTTGATAAGCTAAGAGTACCCATTTGGTAAAGTCTGACAATAATCAAAAAAGAGACAACGTTTAGCCCAGACCCTCCTTCTAGTCCACATTTAGCATTCTTCGGTTTTGAGCTGTTCACAAATTGGGAAAGCTGTTGAAAGGATAGCATTTCCATCTCATACTGAAGTTGATCATACTGCATGAAACAGACTAAAAGCAAACCACAAACTTCCTTCATGAATGGACTTAAAAGGGGGATTACATGTTTGGGAAAATGTGTAGAAATATATTGAACATATTGAAAAATCAATATGTAATGTTTAAGAAAAGTAATTAAGTTTTTGTGTTTCATTATAAACTTAGTTTAGTTGATTAGAGACATGACTTATTGATGAATACGGCTCAACAGAATTACAAACACCTTGATTTGGTTGAACTATATAGAGTAAATTATTGCAAGATATAAAATTCAGCAGTTGATATTTAAGGAAGAGTTGAAAATTTAATGAATAAATATTTTTAAAATGTACAAGTATAAGGTATTCCAATATATTTTTTATCAATAAACAGTAAAATCGTGGAAATGCAGTATAGTGGGTGCTGATTCAATGAGAAAGGAAAGTATTTTTAAATGAAGAGGGAAAAGAAAAGGTGAATTAGAAATGTGCTAAATGAATTGATTTTTGTCCATGTAATTAAAGTAGTGCAAATATTTAGTATTTAAACATGAAATACTTTGAAAATTTCAACAAAACTTTTAGAAAACAGAACATAAGGGTAATATGGAAATGTCAGTTATTAAAAATAGAATGTGATTTGACATCAATTTATGTTACTTCCATACTGTATAAAAACTCATCATTAAAAATTAGAGAAAAAGCAACCTTAATTTTGCATATATTTTGAATAAAAATCTGTTGGTATCAAGGCTATCAGGCACATAAGGACCAAGAACATTTTTGCAAAACCAGAAAAAAAGATTACCGTATATATAACATATACCATATATGTAACATATATATAACATATATGGTGTGTTTGGCTTGCAGTTTTATAGAGGTTATCTGTTTGACATTAGAAACAATCAGTTTAATATTTGAGTTGACATCTGGGATATATAAGCAATCTTTTCTTTTTCTTTTCATTGAAGCTATAAATGCTTAACCACCAGTTGTGATGTTCCCCCCCCTTCTCCCCACTAAAGATGCTTAAATTTCCAATTAAAATTTATCCAGTGGCATGTCTTGTAATGGTTGACTAAGGAATTCTTATGCCAATTTTATGAATTATGGTAAATCTAAGGCCTGAAATCTCATCTAAAAGATGTTAGTTTTCCCTAAATAGATTCTATCTGGTGAAGACAATTTTTTGTAGCATTTTCAAATCAAAATTTTTCTAGTGTCAAGCAGAGTGAAAGAAAAATTAGATGTGAAAATATCAGTTTTAGTTTTTTAGTTTCTTAAATTTAGCGTGAACCTTACAGAACTTTTCAAAACACTTTTCTGTGCTTCATTAATAAAAAATCTTCACCACAACTTTTTATATAGGGTCTTTTTCTTCAATAAATACTTAAAATATTTCCTGCGTATAAAATCTTTTAAAAGCACTAATTATATATTGTTTGTTAACTGAGTAATGAAAGTAATTAGAAATAAGTTATATAAAATTTTATTCAAGTATGTTAATTTTTATAGTATAGTATTCCTACTAAAGTCCTTGTGATATGGTGATTGCTGTTGGAGTTCTACCTAAATCTATATGATAAGGTAATTGTTATTGTATCTCAAGCAAATTTTTTATAATATGATGTGTGTGTTCTTTGCCCTGAATCACAGTTTGTTTGCTGAATTCAGTTTAAATAAACAGTATGCAACTGTTGCATCTTAGAAATATTGCAAAATTACAAAAAGTTGGTTTATGTAATTTTGTTAGATGTCATACATTTTGTTTTCAAAAGGCAGGTAAACTTTCATTTCTCACATTATATTAGAGAGTTAAAACTGTTTGATAAATGTTCCATTAACAAATCGCTAAGTATAATTTTTGGCCTTTTCTATTAAAAAATTTTATATTTTATTTATCATCTAATTCCAGCTGAGCTTCAGGCCTACTATTGAGGAACTAAAAGAAAGAAAAATTATACGGTTTAGTGATTATGTAGAAGTAACACAGGCTCAGGATTATGATCGAAGGGCAGACAAGCCATGGACGCGACTAACTCCACGCGATAAGGTAATTGCTTTTATATCTCTTGCAATAAATATGTTACTTTTAAGTCTGAAGGTTTATTCATCTCATTTTAAAAATATATATATATTTGTCAATATTTAGGCTGCTATTCGTAAAGAGCTGAATGAATTCAAAAGTGTAGAAATGGAAGTTCACGCAGAAAGCAAGCATTTTACACGGTATGTGTTTTTGTACCATTTATTACAATTATATACCTGTGCGAAAACTTCTTATTTGAAGATAAACATAATTACTAGCATTTTAGTGTTGTAGAGAGTACTGGGCTTTTGGAACTGTGAAACATAAAGAAACAATTTTGCCCTCACCGGAATTTGCATCATAGATCTAGTTGCCAGCTAGATGTGCTAACCACGTACATCACAAGCACATACTTCTGGCGATGCGATAAATTCCTTGCATTCTCTTCCTTTTAATAAATGACTAGAGAAAGGCACTGGTGTAAAAGGCAGATTGAATTTGCAATGAACTTCTTCCTCTGTCAGGTATCTAGCTATCCTTTGGTCAGAATGCAACAGTTTCAGCTCAGTATTGGCATCTATAAAATTAGTGCTGCAATCATTGTTCTTTTCCTTGTCTTTCTCCTCTAACATTGATCAATTTTAGAGCTGCTATGAAGGAATCTGATGCTATATCTGTAACCTGTTCTAAATGAGCTGCTTTAGTGACAAAACACATGAAAACACAAACACAGATTTCCACTGCTCAAACACCATGCAGTAGAACTTACTTAACTTGGAAAGGACCATCAATATCCATTTCAGATTTCGAAGAGGCTTATGTGGGTTTCTTTCTGGATACTTGAAGATCTCTCATCGCTTGATATGACAGCTCACTTCTATGTCAACAATATGTCACACATTTCTGAATAGATGTTCATGCATAAATAATCTAGTATCTCTGCTTGATTTCTGAATGCAGTATCTGTGTGTGTGTGTTCTGAATGCAGTATTTTGTAGATATTTATGTGTTAATGTCATACTATCAGTTTGTAATAGGCAGAATGACCAGATATTTTGTATTCCTTGCTATGCTAGTATTTCTTAGTCTTCCATTCCACTCTGTGAATACCCTTATTGTCTAAGCATGGATACAATATACTGATGTTCTGCATGAAGTCAATGGTTTTCTATCTTTCAAATGATCAATTTCTTCACTGAATTCTTCCATTTGCACTGACTTGATTATCAAGGAATGAGCTAGAGGTAGCTCTTGTATTTGGACTAAGCTTGACTCATTGCCATTTATGATCATTGGAGATTGGCATTGAATCTAGGACACCAAGATCTAAATTGTAGAAGCTTTATTCAGGAAGAATATTCATTTAGCAAATGATAGTTGCGAATTTCTTAATCACAGCACTATGCACAATAGCTCAGTTTATATCATTTCTGGCAAAGTATTTTTCATTGAATGTTTAGGGCAAAAACTACCTTTCTTTTTTTATCCAATATGGACTGCTCTACCAATGCTCATCTTCCAACAAACACTGAGATGGCTACACTTCCAACAACACTGAGCTGGCTCTACTGACTAAAGCAGGATTTTCTTTTCCACTGCAATAATTCCCAAACCTGGGATCTGATTTTTCCTGCTTTCAACTACTCATTTGCCCATGAATTGTTTACTTTGTTTCATGGAAACTTTTATCCGAGACATAACAATTAAGGTGTTTGTCCAAAACACAAACTTTTCAGTAAAATCCTTTCCAAGATAGTTTTCTATTCTGGCTCCTATGACGGTTGACGTTAATTCCAGCTCTGCAAATCTATGTTTCTTCAAAGGAGACATAACAAATGGCACCAAATATCACCTTTATCAATTAAGTAAGAACAGTATGTAACAACACTAATATAAGCAAGAAGAGACACATCAACAAACATGTGTATTTCCATTTTTTAATTTAAATTCTCACAATGCACAAATAAACTTCTTAGAACAGAAATATCTTTCACACATCTAATCTTGGAACATCTGACTGATTTTAAGGTGGACGGGCAACTCGTCATCCCAACCCATACTATACTTCCAAGTTTCTGACACTATGCTTCCAAACACTTAATCCTAACTACAAATAGTGGTACAGAACCAACCTGATAAAAAAATGCCATTACTGCAATATAGTTTATAATAGTTCGGCTTTTCATATACTTTAACACGTTGAGCGTGGCACCGAATTTGCTGTCCTTTCCGTTCAGCCGGCAGCGAGCTAAGCCGTATTTTTGTTTAGAATATTTCAATACATTTCATTAAAACTAAATTTGATCACATTTCATTGAGACTATATTTATTTTTTAACTTTAATACTGTCGGTTTGCCAGCCAAACGAAAATTCCAGTGCCAGTCCCCAAGGACTGATGCCAGCCACACGGAAAGTTCACTGCCGGTCCCCAGGGGCCGGCGCCACGCTCAGCATGTTAAACTCTTCATCAACCCTCCTATACCTGAAGAAAATTGATTATCTTATAAGGTATTTCTCCCGCCTTCGTGGTGTAGTGGTCAGCTCACTCGACCCGTATTTGAGAGGTCCGTGGTTCGAGTCCCGGTGAGCTAATTGCTCATTTTTCATCTCTTCTACTTTCAAAAATACCTAATGTCTTTACAGCGGCACCCGAACCAAAAAAAGAGGGTGGATGATGATTCTCCACCACTAGGATTTGGCGATTGGGTCCCCTAATCCCCTGTCGCCTTTTAAAAGGGGGAGTACATAAAGTATTTCTCCCACTTTGCTAGCATGCTTTCATGTTGTAGTGGTCAGCATACTCGACACATATTCGAAAGGTCCGTGCTTTGAGTCCCGGCAAGGGCATTGCTCATTTTTCATCTCTCGTGCTTTCAAAAATACCTAATGTCTCTATAATCTGCTGGGTTTCACTTCAGCACAAAAACTTTCAATGAGAATCAGAATTATTAGTATTTTTGCAAAGTCCCACTATGACATCAATTTCTCAGAATAGCTAAGCTTTCCACAAATTCATACCTGCATCCTTTAAAACTGGCCCAGCATCTGAAGACAGCTTAAAAGCCTTAAAGGCTTCATTATTATTTCCTTCAAAATATAATCATATATGTACTGTAACGAGTTCAGCGTTTCTTCAGATTCATATTAATTTTTTCTGTATTGTTTAAAGTAACTTTTTATTCTTGCACTTAAAATAAATGGTGATGGCTTACAATGAAAGGGCAATATGTGACATACACAGAGGGTGCTTATAGATTTTTGGAATGATTTCAGAGCAGTTTAATTGATGTCTGAAATGTAAAAAATATGTTTTCAAATGTTAGATCTGATAACCTTGTTTCTGGACTATATGTCTGCAGCATGATTTCTAGGATAGAAGGCTTCTTTTATGAAATTTGCAAGGTCACTGATTTCCACTACTCTCTGAAGTCTGTCAAACGTGTGGGTTTATTCTTAGAAAAAGATCTTTTCAAAGGACTAGAGGCACAGTAGGCCACAGACAATACATAAGGGGACTTCATAGGAATATGTTGAAAAGTTATACACGAATACTTGTATCAGTCTTCATTATTTAAAGGGATGCTGCGGTACTTTTTGAAGTATGACTTGTTGCTCTGTCTTGATGAAGTTTCAGTCTTTGAAAGTCATTGGGATAGAAAATGGAATTTCTTCTGTCAGTATTGGATATAAACTTTCTCTTGATAATACTTTGAGTTGTTTTTAATACTTTTTTCCCGTCTTCTTTTTAATTTTCCATTCTCAGAGAATCCTGTGACAGTTATAAACCCCATACTAAAGCTTTCTTGAACATTGACGGCTGCAGATGACCGCTATTTGTGATTTAGTGCACGTCACAACAGGACTGGAATTCCACCTTAGCTTAGATCTAGACTTATTCCTGCTTCAAGAACAAGGACAGTGTGAGGACAACCTAACCCAGACCATTGAGTAGCCTATACATGACAATAATGTCCACTTTCCCAGATTTTATCTAAAATGAACATCTAGCGATCACACTGACTTGAAAGTACAGTACTGGCCCTTACTGTCTTTGCCGAGCCTGCACAGATCATCGTACAAACGATGATTCTAGTCTCTGTGAAAGCAGCTAATTTCCCCTATATTGTCTGCTCCCAACACATAGATGTTATAAGTTACCAGCTCAGGGGGATCAGACCTGATTAGCTGATAAAGTGAGATAGCACACTCTCATGTTGCCACCACTCCCCCCATCAAGGGAAGGCCCTTTCTGGAGGGGCTACAGGAATGTCATTATCAGCTACAGAAGTATGTAGAAGGCTGCATGAAAGATGTCTGTATCCCAGGAATAAGTTTTTTAAGTAAACCTGAAATTGCTAAAAAATTTTGCATTTTAATTATGTGGCTTGATGTGTTTATATAGAAAATATTAATAATGCTTGCTTTATATTTTAGTTTATATTCATGTGATATGCAAAAGTATGTTAATTAAATATTTGTTTAATTCATAATGAAATTTTTTATATTTACAAATAGGATAATTATTATTTCTTTCTCAATTATATATGATGATAATTTCACTTAATGCTGCATTTCTGCAACTGTGCTGATGCTTTTAATACATAGCTAAATGCTTATTACTTTCCAGGTTTCATCGCCCATGAAAATTTCATAGGATGCTTATGTAATAATTTTTGACAATGTTCCTGCAACTCTAACGAAGTCTGCAATGAGTTACAGATGAATAGAGAACTTGTAAATTAAAATATAATGCAAAAAACTTTTATTCATCAGACTTTGAAACATCATCTCATCATAAAAAATATTTGCTACTGCTGTATATATTTCCACAGCGCAATTGTGATAGTTATAAAGTTTGTGCCAATATTATTTGTTCAAAAAACATGCTGTTCGGGAATGCACACTGCCAGAGAAATGGAAACCTCTTTGCAACTGCGTATCCGAATGTGCATGTCATATAATTTTTTTAAATATGAGATTGTTTCTATGCAAAGCAGGAATTATATACTTTTTACTTGGTTTATGTATGTATTGCATTGTTGGCAGCTTATATTTTATCTGCTCCAATTTTAGGCATTTTTAAAAAGCTCAAATTTTACTGAGACTGTGGATAAAAAATCTCAGACATATTTGAATGATAACAGAAGTTTTTTTTTTTTTTTTTTTAATATTTTTTGCATCAGTTGTATGCAATTCGTTGTATATAGCTTTTTTCCCCTTTAAAGATCTTGTCACAAAGCATTAGAAAAGCAGTTTTTCTCTTTTTAATGCTTATGAATTCCCCCTAGTCTGAAAATACCAAGAAATGGCAGTTTAATTGTATATTATCTCAGTAACCAAATATGTTAACTATTGTTTAATTTGACCAATGTTAAAAGCTTATTTTTATTGATTGTATTTTGGTCACCACCTATTTTTCTTGCATTTAGATGTTTGTGTCTTGTTATTGTTTTTATTTATATTTATAGATTTTTTGCTTCTATTTTGTTATTCATTTGACTGATAGATAAAGCAATTTTGTATATATGCCATGTGTTGCATATTCTATGCAAAAGCAGGGACCAAAGACCTACAAAGCTTTATAATGCTGAGTGTATGTCCAAAGTCCCTGATTTCATTTCTTTTACATATCCTTTTGACCAAAGGGAGCTTGAAAGTACTAAGTTTTTTTATATGTCAAAATGACTACCACTTTAATTCTGAGACAGGCATTTTACATAGATATTTTAAATCCACTATGAGGAGGGTAACAGGTAATTAAAAACATTCCTGTCAAATTATATAATAAATATATATTATTTATATTCAGTAATTTCTGATATTCACATTTTGTTTATCAGTATATAAAATATTATAACACTGATAAAATGTCATCTGAAGTAAAGAACTGTATCAATTCAAAATTAAATTCTATTTAAATACCACTTATTTATTATGTGCATTATCATAAGTGATTAACATTTATAATTAGTTAATCTGTTAGGCATTTTAAAATTAAATTAGTTGTCAGCAACAGATAGCTACCAAAATGTTTTTTCCTCATTAATGTACAATGAAATTCAGTATTAAATTTTACAAGAGATATCATCATTGCATTTTGCAAAATTTGGCCATTTTATTCATTGCTAAATATATAAAGAATCATTATTTACTATTAGTTTATTTCTAGAAATATATATGTATATCAGATTCAACATAATTATTTTCATTTTCTTATAAGCTAAGTTTAACTTCAGATGTGTTAGGATATTAATCTACTTTACTGAAAAACAGATGATTATTAGAGTATTTATTGGGTTTGTGCAATACTATTTCATACTTTCATGTGAATGAAATTTTTTATAGTCTATAAATTTATTAATTAGTGAAAACAAACATTTATCAACAAAATTAATGAAAAAAAACTGAATTAAGTTATAAAAATACTATTGCTGTGTGTGTTCTGGCAAACATGAACAACAAAATATAATTGAAGGTGTGTTATGAATAAGCCCAAATATATAATGATGCTCAATTTTGGATGATAATAAATTAAGTATAGAATGTGTAAATTTGAAAATGGCATATTTTCTATGAATAAAATCATAACTGAAATAAACATGTTAGCTACTATAAACATAGCAGATTTTGCAAGACTTTGCAGTCAGTTGCTTGAAACATTTTAATGATTTTTGCAGTTCATTTTCTATAATCTGCAACAGAAGCATAATAAAAATTCTATTTTTTGAATTACATATGATTTATACTATGAAGGGTGTTTAAAGAGATTGCATGAATATCTTAGTTGTCCTAAAAGCAGAATCAAATTAGGCTGGCCTTCAGGCAAGGACAGTTTGAAATAGGTGATATCTTTTAGTAAACATATACAAAAATTTTATATGGGCTTCTTAAAAAAATGTCAACAAGAAAAATGCTTTTACTAGCTGATGTACATATACATTTCCATTCTCATGCAATTAAAATTACTCAACATATCTGTTATTTAAATTTGGGAAATTATTTACACATTGCTACATACCTTAAATTATCAAGTACAAATTTATAAAAGAATACCTTTTACATGGCATACGACAGAAACACTAACTTCAATTTCCCAATTGTGGAAATATTAAAATACAAGTTTTATTTTGCAAATTTAATTTTGTGCAACCCCTATTTCTTTTGGGGAGAAGGGGAAGCAGCTGAAAGTGATTCAATCATGCCTTTACTTTTTACCATGTTTTCCAAAAAAGATGTTTACTATTCCAGGTCCAATTATACACATTTCAGGCCTCTTTTTTTTTTTTTTTTTTTCCATGTTTCTCCAAAAAGACCTTTACTAGGGTAAATGCCAACTGACTAATTGGAACTTTCTATATTCTATGCATTTATAAAAATTTAAAGCTCCAATATTTTTACTGAAAGAGATTCCATGACCAAAATGATTTCATAAATTGGTTCATGGGTCTCATCTTATGTGTTCAAGATATTTAGTCATGCATTCTTTTTTAAAACACACTGTATATGAACTTCAATTATTTTTCTTTATGCGTCTATATAAGAAATTTGAAATTCAGCCAGATCACCTTTAGAGATTGGTTTTCATCAATTAACAGTAAACTTAGAGTTTATATTGCTTAAATATTATGAAATATATAATGTTGAATTAATTATGTGATAAAATATGTTTTAGAGTTGTCCAAATTATAGAACTGAGCATATAATGTGTATAAAAATAGAAAATTTTCATTGCATGTATTATTTTGACTAAAGGTAATTTTGCATAATTTTTATAATTCACTGTAATGCATATTTGCACATTCATAGTAATAGTAATGTATATAAGAAAGAGTAGGTGCATCTTATTTCTGAGAAATACACTTATTAGCTCAAATTTAGGATGTTTTCACTTAGATAACCGTTAAAAAAGCGTGCAGTAGATGTTATTTAGATATTCTCTTGGTTTGATTATAATTCTTTCAAATTTCAGCAGTTTTTCAAACTTAAGTAAAACTCTTTTCTTAATAGTATCCTTGGCCTAAAAGCTTTGATTTCGATGTCTGATTCATTTTGAAGTAATATTGAGCAATGTTTCAATGCACTCTGTTTAAGTGTTAAAACTGCAATGCAATAACTGCTTTATGCACTATGTTTATACTTTATGCATTGAAACAAGGCATGCTCATCATATTGATGCCATTACAAATATTATTCATAACTGATCATAATGCCTTTTGAAGTTATGTAGATTAAAGTTGAGAAAATGAAAGTTTTAAATGTAGACCAATTTTTATTACCCTTGTCTTTTCCAATTTTTTATTACTTATAAACCATAGAAGATGAATGCTTGTTTTGTATGCTTCATGTATACAGCTGCTCACACTGATAGGCTGCTTTTCTTCAGTAATGCAATGATTGTGTTTCTCTCTTGGGTACTTTTTACTATTATAAGAATATATCAGGATTTTCATAAAAAAGTGCAAGAGGGTACAGAATCGAATAAACTGTGGATAAGATTCCACATTCATGTCGCATAAATCTTAGATTTTGTAAATAAAATATACTTCTTTTTATACACACAAATGCTAAATTTGCTATTTTATAATTTCATTTTATTTCATAATATAATTTTAGAATTATGTAATCGTTATTTATCATCATGAAGTGCTTTGTTTTATAATGTAACGAGGGAGAAAAAAAGTGTGTTATTCAGAATTTATGAACACTAGCTTCTTTATAAATAAATACAGATTTTTATTACTTTGTAAGTACTTATTTTGAAAAAAAAAAAAAAAAAAGGCTCACTCATTAAAGATGAAATTTGCTTTGCTCATACATTAAAGAATACACAAGGAAAATTTGTTTATGTTTATTATGAAATTAACAAATAACAATTTAAGTACATAAATTTTAAATACTTATCTAATGTAAACAACAAAACGAGAGCACTTGAGGTAAAAACTAGTTTTTCCACATCCACATAACTTTATAAATATACACACTATATTACACCAAAACTGCAGTTTTGTAAACTAATTTGACTTACTGCAAGACAAATAAGTGCTGAATTCTTAATCTCTCTTAACACATCACAGTCTTACAAACCAGGTACAAAATTTTGGAAACCACTTTCAGTGAAAAGTCATTAGTATTGCTCTCAGAGTTTACATTATTTAACATAATTTTTTAGCATGTGCCACTTATTCCAAATATTTATTTAAGAGCCTATATATTCATTTATTTTATTTTATAAGTACAATAATTATTATTTATATTATAAGTACAATAATTATATGAAATCACAGTATATATAAAAAAATACAAGAAATAAACACAATATATTTTGAAGATATCTCTTTAAGTATCCTTTCTATCAGCTTCACCATCCAAGAAAGAGTTAAGGGTATAAGAAATACATGGCACAAGTTACTTTCTCACATCTAAACTTAGGAGGCATTGTTTGTATTTCTTAACCCTTGAAGACAAGCTTATATATTCCAAATACATACACCTAAATGTTTATTATGGATGTCCTTTAAAAAAAAAAATTTTTCAGTGAAGTATAGCAGATACTTCGTAAAACAAAAACCTTACAAAATTAGATTTGCATTATTTAAAAAGGAAAAAGAAATCACACAACAAATGCTTGAAAGTTTGCATAGATATTAATATGAAAATAACGTCATATCCTTCATTATTTGGAAGCACAATTTTATCGCTTGGCTGGTCAGGACAACAAACCACAATCTTAAACCACAAAGCCAGGCACAGCATCATAAACATGCATTGAAGATTTAAGTACATTTTGTTATTTTTATGCACATAAATTCACATTTGTTACAATGATACATTTAACAAGAAAGATTTTATTTGTGTGACATGTCGAGAAAGACTGAAATGTGCAAATGATATCAGATTTGATCAAAAATAATTTGCAAATAATATTTAATCTATGCAATTAAACAATTCTTTATTCTAAATTTCCTCTACTCATTTGAAGTATGAAATGCATGTTTATATTTGATATAATTGGTCCCTTTTAAGCCACTTATAGGGAATGAGTAGTTGTAGATTGGGAAAAAAGCAAATATTTCAATCCTTAAACTCGGCATGTCAGCTGCTCTACAATATAAGAACTACACATCATAAAATTATCACTTTTTCTTAGGTTGGCAAAATAATTTTGTGCCATTTTTACCCTTATAATTTCATATGTACTAAGAAATACATGAACAGAGAATATTCTTTGCATAAATATAAATGCTATTAAACTGTGCCACAAGCAGATAAAACAAAACTGTCAGAGTGCTAATTAAAGAAGGCTTTATAAATAGCAAGATTGCAACATACACTGCATAACAATACTACACAATTACCAATGAAAAATGTAACTGACAGCTTTACATATATAAAACAATAAAAACATTAAGTGAACTACAAACTATTTTGCACTGTGAACATATAATATTTAGCTCTAAGAATATTAAGCAACTAGTAGACATTTATTAGTCCGAGTGGCAGTGGGAAAAACTAAATCTAGCATTGTGAAAATTTGAACATCTTATGCTGAGTCATGATGTGCTCTTTCAGTTAAATGTGACCTTATTGGAAAAGTTTTCAGTGTCTTTTCAATACAGTATTCTACACTGAATTAAGTACTGAAAAACAAATTCATTATCCCTAGAAAATAAAGAATTACATTTGAGTATACTTTTTTGGAATAATTTTTCCATTTTTGTTAAATATTACAAAATATTCTGGATTTAACCAAATCAGTTGTAAAGAATTGATCATATTACTTCTTATTCATTTATTTCAGAAAATATACTTCATTTATTGTTAACTTTACGGAAATAGGGTAGCATTTCTAGATATAAGTCTACGGATCTAGCTCCTGGCAGCTTGCTGATAACAAAAAATTGCAAAATAATTTATCCATTATTACGCAGCAAAGAGAATTTTTCTTTAATATATAAAAAAAAATCATTTTAAACAAGAATTTGGCTAAAATTAATTATAGATGAACTTGTCACCACCTAAATGTCTTACAGATTTATTAAAGTATGCATTTTCCAAAGTGTGGCACATATTCAAACCTACATCAATCAGATCAACTCTTGCAACCAAAACAAAGCTATTAGCAGTTGAAATGTGAAAAAATAATTCTACAGTATTAAAAGAGAAAATAGCTCTCATCATTATTGCTACAACAGAAGAATAAAAATAATTTTAAATTTCAAAATTACTTTTGAATATTTTATGGATAGGAGATATGTTTACCTACACATTAAAAAATTATCAATAAAGTATGCATTTCAAACTTTGTAAAAAAATAATGTAAAATACCTATCAATCTCTTATATAGTTTTGCAGCATGGAGCTCCTCTGTTAATCGACAATTGAACAACGTATTTATTAAACATGTAAAAATTCTGCAAATGAATTTAAATGGAAATTAATCAGAACAGAACTTTCTCCATGTAGGTACGTTAAAAAAAAAGAGCCACTATTTTCGGCATTTATGAGCAACATATAACTCAATATGCATAGGCTATGATCAAGGCTTTAGAAAGACTATTTATACTTTCATGATTTTTATGAAACCACAAAATATTATCTATAATGCTATCAGGAAACAATAGTTTAAATTTTACGAGTTTAAAAAATACAAAGTTCAAATCGATATTCAATCGTTTCATTTTGGATAAAATATGTGTTCAAGTGTATGTACTCTCTAAAGTTTGTGCATGCACATTCACATACACACATGCATGTGTGCATATAGTAAATAAATAAATAATTTATATATTCACACACGCACATAACTGCAAGTATATTGCATGTATAACCTCTAGCCAGGTACAGAATGATGCACTGTTTTGAGAAAAGCATCCTGCCAGGGGCACACAATGTAATAGAAGTCAATACTGTTTGTTTTTAAAATTGGTACCACTTCTTATCTTTGAATTTAGTTGCTAGTTGTCTTGCAGCACTGTGAAAGCTTTCCGCTTCAGACATCATCTTTTCAGTACGATCTTCTAACTGGGATAAGGCTTCTCCTCTTTCAGCAAGGTTCTAAAGATTCAAATAAAAAATTTCCAGGAATTCATATACATATACACAAATATTCTTTCACTATTCCCTCATGAAATTTGTAAATTACACACACATATATAAATTTTGGTGGCTATACAAAAGAAGACCATGAAGATAAGAGAAAATGAATTAAAACTCATGTGCCAACTATCTTCCAAGCTTAAAATGCAAGGAATACAGAAAGCTTTTTGAAAAAAAAAAAGTATGGTAGATAATAATAATAATATGGTAAGGTTAGTATATAAAATTCTTAGAAGGCTTGAGAAGCATCAAGATTTAATAAAAGAATTTAATTTGGTGTATTCACCAGCTCAAAGGAAATTATGAAATCACTGGACGTAGACAGCTTTATTATAAATGGAAAGTGAAAAACATCATTATATGATAAGTTTGTTGGTGTCATGGCAATGAGAAAACAGCCAAGCTGACTAAACTGTCATCAAAACTGGATTTAATTCTTTCACTTAGGATCACTTTTGACAGCAAATTAAAAGGAAGAAAAGTGGTGAAAATCGTAATTAGAAGGTAATACTTGAATTTTTAATCATTTCGTTCTTCCATTATAATTTATTTGTAAAATAAATATTATTCTGCTAAATGCTTTTCTTGATGATGTAGAATTTTTTATAGCCAGCAGTGTATAATAAATAACATGAAAACTGAAATGTGTTTATTACTAATTAGTTTAGAAAAACTAAACTGGTTAGTGTTAAATATATAAGAACAAATAAACTGTGTTTATTATTGTGCGTAATTTATAAAAATTATCAAATACAAATAATAAGCAGATTAATTAATTTTAATTTCAAAAGAAAAATTGCCCAGTTTTCCAAGGTAAAATTTTGTATGTCTGTTTTCTAAACATAGGAAGAAAATTCTTAAAGTGCAATCCTAACAGAAAATTTTATGACAAAAAAATTTACATTTTCTTTGCCTTTCACCTTTACAGATTCAACAAGTAATTTTAACCACCAGTTTACTTTTTCGGTGACTAGAATTAACTGCATCCCCCCCTCCAAATCAGTTTGAAGCTCAAGTGAGTGTAAACTGTAAGTTTATTAAAAAACAGGAAATATTTATAAAGGAACATCGAAATTATTAAAAGAGAAGCAGTACGAAAACTACTGCAAACACGTTTTAAAAAAAGCTGCTAAGTCAATATAAATAGGAAACAGAAAAAACATAATTTTAACTATATTTTGTGATCTTCCGAAATTTTAAAATGCTACAAAATTTGGTCCAAAAGTTTTCCTTTTCGAGATCAAAACTCCATATTTAATCATTTTCTTCTAGATTATGTGTCAATATTTAGCAGTTAGTTTCAACAAATATCGTTCTGCGCAATTTTATAGAACAAAGAAAAAGATTACATTAGCCGGATTGCCGTTTGGTCTCCCATCTTCATGAAGACCCATCAAATGCTTCTATGACTGCCTGTCTTGATTTAACAGATCGGGATTTGTCGTCCAGTACAGTTATTGTAAAATGCTCTTGAAATATGACAGTATACTTGATTGCTAACTTAACATTTTTCTAATACAGCCCTTCAACAGCATGAGAAATATCTTGCAAATGTGAGCATAACTTACGTGATCTTTCAAGATTACACTGTTCGGCAAGTACGACACAATGCAATCTTTGATCGTTATTCTAATAAAATCAAACATCCTCTCCAGGTGTTTTTTCGTTTCGCGGAAATAACCACTGAATGCTATTTTTACTTCTTTCCTAGGCAAAGCGAAAATACTTTTCGAATTTCTTTCGTTAAGCGAGCATACATGTTAAAGCAGAGCTTTCATAAATGCAAACTGGCCAAACGAAGGAAAAACTTGTAATGAGTCGTCTAGTCCACAGTTAGAAGCGGTTTGCGGACCGGACGGCTGCAAGAGGCCCCGAGTTCCAAAGGGCTTTCTTGCCCCGGAACTAGCCGTCTAGAAGGGTAGGCTACGAACTGCGCGATACGTAACTTCAAACCTTCTTCTTATTTAGTGCCAGCTAACCTGCAAAGAACAATAGGCAGCTTTTCGTCCCCTACCTTATATATGAAGGGTGAATAGAATAAAATTGATTTTATGCTTATTTCAAAATCCAGCACTAAATCTCAATAGGATTCAAGTATTAGTAGGCTTTTCCGTATTCTATTTTATTGTATTTTATTTAATTTCTATCATATTTTAATGTATTTTACTTTATTGCATTTTCTTACTTAGTAAAACTTGTATTCTGTGTGTAATGTATTTTCTTTTCCACCCCACATGTCACGAACATTTCATAAATTTGATTCGCCATTCGTGCAACGCCTCTACTGATCCTTGGGTTACGTTCTATTGTTTTCTTTGCTTGCGATGTCTCAAGTCACCACCTTTTTTCCTAATTCCTACTCGGTGTGGACATAACACTGTCATGGGCTCTCGCAGCATATTCATCATCGAGCCGGACACGTCACGTGCTCACAGCAACATCCCGGCATAATGTGCATTGATTGATTGAATAAAATATACATTTTGGATTCTGAGGAAGGACGCTATGAGAGAAGGATGTCGTCAGAGATTGCGCCTGTCACCAGATCCGGTTACGAACACGTGCTATTCTATATATAACTGTTTATCGATGCCTACGTCCCATTGCCTACAATTGCTATTATCTTATTATTATTTTCGGCATATAATTGCTATATTTTTAGGTAAGTGTTTTAGTTCCCTGGATTGGTCGTTCTATTCACATCCGGTTCCAGAGCGAAAGTTGCATTGCGAATTCGGGCGCTGAAGTTTGGATTTGAATTTGAATTGCAACATGGACACAGTTAGGGTATTTTTTCAACAATTCATTGCGGAATGCAAACACGAGTAAAGTTTAGGAACACTGAACGACAAAAAAATTTTAATGTTAGGATGTATTGATGCGAATCTAAATGACTTGAACTCAGATGAAAATGTTCAAAATAATGATAAATTACATGTTGCAACTGAGCCTAGTGCTCACATAAATAAACAGACTCTGATTGAAACCGAGCCACGTGCTCGTATAACAGAGAAAAATAGTGATACTGTCTACGAGTCCAATTAACATAGACGAAAATACACAATCTAGTTCAGAGGAGGAGGTGATCAAACAGTAGACCAAAGACCCAGTGGAGAAGCGAGCATAACTGGCACCCGGGGCAAAATACCTTTTTAGCGCCCTCCCTCCCCCGAAAAAACACAGTGATATGACGAAAATCTTGTTTGGAGACCATTTGGCGGCGCTAGGGCATCATACACCCCCTTGCCCCCCCTGCTACGCCACTGCAAAGACCTGCTGCAAAAAAGCAAAAACTTGATACTACTACTCAAATGACAAATAAACCAATACCAAATAAATGACTTAACGAACAAGTTAAAATAAATACGAATATTATGACCAACACACCAAATGTTGAAAATAATATAGGCAATAACACAAATAATGATTCACAAAATCAAAGGACTTCATATGAACAGAAAATAACTGATAATGAATACATAAAGAAAAACAAAATCAAACCTATTACTATCAAAGTTACTAGTCAGGCATGGAAAAATGTAAGGACGACTTTCAGAAAGAACAATACAGAAGTCAGGAGTCGCACGATACCGGACGGTATCAAAATTGTTACTAATAATGTTAATGATTACAGGGTATGTGTTAGGCTGCTTAAAGCAGCCAATATTGAGCGTCATTGTTACATACTCCCACAGAACAAAGACTTAAAAGTAGTTATTAGGAGATTATTAAGAGACGATGATCCTAAAGAAATTCAGGAAGAGTCCGAAGCAAAAAGGTACACTATTTATTATATAGGTAAAATAAATGACAAGACGCAGATACGGTGAATTTACAAAACTCCCCTTATTTTTCGTCACATTGCCTAAAACACACAAATCTTCTGAAATTTTTAATGAAGAATATTTACTCGATTTAAGGGTAATAACTGAACAATATAAAGGACGGTCGGGACCCCTTACAATGCTATAGGTGTCAAGGGTTTCACTACACTCAAACTGGGTGGAACTACACGCCCAAATGCGTAAAAGATGTGGAGAGAGCCACTTTTGACTGACTAACTGATGCGATTTAGTCGGAATATTACAAACAGCTGTAGTTTATCCGACTCGTTGGGAGAATTAGTGCCAAATGGGCGCATTCACATATAACTATCCTCAACATCTGCCAGGAAGGAGGAAGTCCAGGAAAGGATAACCAGACTCGCATGAACTCGTGATGTAAGTGAGCGAGGCGAAGACAAAGTAGGAGTCTTAAAGGGGGGTACTATTTACACAAAGCACAGTACTGAACATAAATAGAGCTACATGAAAGTGCTACTGAAAATAATATGAAATAAGTAAAATACTAAATAAACAATGTATTTACAATATGTACAAAGTATATACAAAAGCAAGCACTAAGTGGGAAAGTCTGAGTCCCTGATAAGGTGGGCCACTAGTGGACGCAATTCAGTATCCTCATCCAGTTTTTCATAAGAGAATATATCAAAATTATTCAGATGGTCGAAGTTCATTGCTTTTACAAAGAAGTTTTTTTTTTTTCACTTTTTTAAGGTAATCTTCCAGTAGGTCCAGTTTTAGGTCACAATGCAGTGTAGCGTTGCTCCCGTAATGGTGGGCGTGGGTGATTAATCTTAAAAACCTTATTTTGTACTACCTGAAGTTTATTGATATCATCCTTAGTGGTCGTGTTCCAGGCAGGCGAGGCATAAGTAATCAACGGCCTAATAGCTGTAATGTAGACTAGCCGTTTTTTCCTGAAGTCGAGGCTAGAATAGTTGCCTAAGATAGGAGTGAGACTGCTAAACAAAGTTTTTTTTTTTTTAATTCAGTTATGTGATCTCTCTACTTGAGTTTTTCATTTAGCATTATGCTCAGGTACTTCGCCTTACGTATCCGGGGGGGGGGTATTTCCTCCGAAAACAAGAAGAGCTTGCTATTAATCCGAGATTTTAT